CCTGCTCTACAGAGATGTTGGGATGTCATAGATTTGGTAGAGTTAAACTAGTGTTTATTTTAATATAAACCACTCTTACAATCAAAGAGTGCCACAGTCAACTGCAGCTGAAAATTCTGTGATTGGTGAACTGAGGGATATTGACTCTTAGTAAACAGAAATAATAGCATTTATGCATAATCATTGAGAAAAAAACATTAGTACCACCTGTCTCTGGTTTATAGTTGATGCATTAAACTGGGAAGGGAATGGCATGGTCCTATCAATGTACTGGCACCAACAAAGTGTTAAATATTTTTTTACATTTCCTACATCCACAAATATAAATAACTTTAAAACACATTTTCTTTACTTAAAGTTTTATAATGAAGAAATAAAAATGTATTTTGGAGGTTTGTTGTTTGCTGAGTGACATGGCTTTATGGCATTTATGTTTACTCCAACAATACACTGTGACAACTTTTTTTAGACTTTATAAAATCTTTCTTTTAACTAAATATATTCCTAGGTTCATGTTAAACTAAACTTTTTAGAAATATTCACCTAATGCTAGCAATCACTACATGAATTACTGCAAACTCTAATCACTACTTACTTAGACAGTGCATAGGGTTTAAAAATTGTGCTATACAGTATTTTCTTTTATTCTGAAAGACATTTTCCAGAGGATACATTACATCTGTCTAGGCCTAATTAGAGTTTAAGCCTTTGTTAGATGATTTGTTTGGATTAAATTAAGCTTTGCATAGGTTATGTGTATTTCATTTGAATGAAAACAAAACAATTAAATTGATTAAAAAAAAACAACCTAATTGGTCTCCAATACAAATAAGCTACTGTAATGACTCTACCCAGATTTGCTTTTAATGAAACAAGTAGTGGAATATGGCGTCACCTTTGGTGTTACTATTATATATCAAAGATGAATTGTTATTTTACGGTCCAGCAAATTTAAAATCTGTTTTGCAGAAAAATAACAGATCCGTTTTACACAGTAATATAAAGCTGGGGTAAACGTATGTAAATATATCTCCTAGTTTGTGCGGGTTGGCAGGTACTCTGAATGTAGATAATGTGTTTCTTGAATTTTAGTCGATATCTTTATAGATTTTTTTTATTTATTTATTAGATACATGTGATTTGTATTGTTTCTTGGTTTGCATCGATTTATGATAAAGATCTGTAATTCAACGTGCTTTATTAATAAACTGACAAACTTAAATTGACTCGCAAAAAGTCTGAATACCTCATTCTGGGAACACGGGTTTTAAAAAGGGATTGTTTATGAGGAGCTAGTGGCAACAGAACTGGTTTAACCATTTCAAATTTTGCTCAGGAAAGTCAAGACAGTGCTGCTTTGCAGGTTATCAGTTTTTTCGTAAATGTTCTAAATATGTCATATCACTTGCAAAATCTAGCAGTTAGAATGTTTTACCTCCTTTGTCAAAAATGTATCTGTTGCTGAATTAATAGCTGTATAACAAAGTGTGATTTGCACATCTTAAAAAAGTTCACAAAAAAATTCAGTTAGTTAAACATTGCACTTTACAAAATGTTTAGTGGCTGCAGGAGGATAAGTACTAATTTAAAAAATACAAAAATTAGCTTTAGTTTATTCTCATTTTGTGGATTACGGATTGCAATGTACTGGTGCCCATGCAAGTTATAAAGTTATCCACAAACTACATTCTGGTCTTGCTAAGCATTTCCTAAATGTCCCAACACAATAAAAAAAATAGGTAGAAAACTCTGGGAGCAAATATTATTGTCTTATTTTTTTTTTACTGAAAAAAGTCTTTATTTATGCAAGTCAAAATAAGTACCTGTCTCTTTAATATGTGCATTTTATTATACCTCCCTCTGATGTTTCTCACTGTCCTCATGGAGCCTTTTGTTCAATGTGCTTGATAACACTGCCTCCTACTGGCGTTTTCTAGTCATTGCATGGGTGTTTTCCTTTTTTTGTGTGTGTATGTCCTGTTTAGCGAATAGCTCTGGGAGCTAGCTGATAGCCCAACAGCTTTGCTTTTACAAGCAGACCAGTGTGACCTTTGCCATAAGGTTCTGCTTGATACTTGTATATTAATTTTGAACATTATTTGGGCAGTAAAATCATATAGAAGGACATGGAAAAGGAGGTGAGAGAGAAGAGGGGGTAAGAACTAAGGGGAGAGAAAAAGAGACAGGAAAGAGCGCATGAAAAGAGAAAAAATAAAACAAAACAGCAAAAATAGACAAAAGATATACAGTAACTTATGGAAGTTTGCTTCCATTCCTGTAAAAGACGAAAGGAACAGAAACCAGGTGGCATTACAGCAAAAGTATATAAAGAAAATATATATATAAAAAAAAAG